CACGCCATCGACGGGGCATCGCAATCGTCCGATTTAGAGAAGATGACAGACGAAGTGTCGGTCAACCTCACACAGTCGATTCACCGAATTTTGCAGATTTCTCCAGACGACGTGTCCGAGGGATTGCCACTGGAACGCCCTTTAACCATCGAATAGGATTAGCACCAGGCACACAGCCCACTGTGCAGCGGCACTTTCGACTAACATAGCCGGAGTTAGAGGAATTACACAAACAACAATACTAATTACTCAAGAAAAAAAAAGCATCCGCCCGAGTTCATCCCCCTTCGCCGCCCCCATACTGTTCACACTAAAGAAGGGTACCGAATGTGCACCGAATAGCAAGCACTGAACTGGCTGGCTATCAAGTCACGCTACCCGATCCCTCGCAACGACGAACTGATCGATCAACTTTGGAAAGCTCGCTCCTTCTCGAAAATAGATTTACGAGTGGGTTACCACCAAATTCGCGTAGTCGCAGCGGATAGTCATCGGACCGCATTTCGTACTCGGTACGGGAGTTTCGACTATGTAGTTATGCCCTTCGGTCTCACGAACGCCCCGACGACTTTTCAAATGACTATGAGCCAGAGTTTCAGTTCGCTCGTAGATTGAAAGTGTATCATAGTCTATCTAGACGACATCCTAATTTACGGCGAGACTCGAGAGCAGTGCTTAAAGGATCTCGTGGCAGTTTTCGCGCTACTGCAGGAGCACCGGGTGCTTACGAAGGGGTCTAAGTGCGAGTTCTTAAAATATAGGTTAGAGTTCTTAGGTCACGTCATTTCCACTAATGGCGTCGAAGTGGACCCACGGAAGATCGAGACCCTGCAAGTCTGGCTACCGCCTACGAACCTGCAGGAGCTCCAAAGTCTTTTAGGGCCTGTAAATTACGTTCAATGGTTCATCTCAAATATGGCGGGGGTAACTCCGCCGTTAACTGACCTGCTACGGAAAGGGACTGAGTATTTGTGGGGGGAGAAAGAGCAAGCTACCTTTCTACGTGCTCAGCCCCTGTCCTTCGAATCACCGATCCTCACCGTCCATTCGAAGTCATCACTGACGCTAGCAACATCGCCATCGGAGTAGTACTGTTACAGGACTTCGACGAAGGCCTGCAGCCAATCGCGTGCGAGTCCCGAAAGATTACCCGCCCGAGCGAAACTATCTGATACACGACAAGGAGATGCTCGCGATTGTGCACGCCTTAAAAGTGTGGCAGTGCTACCTAAAAGGTGCGGACGTGGCAGTGCAGACGGACCATCACAACACCTTTAGTACATTCGCGCACAGCCCGCGACAGATTCGGTGGTTATATTTAATATAATCATTTTTTTGCTATATTGTCACCTACAAAAAAGGGGCATCGAACATTGCAGACCCCTTTTCGCGCACATCCACCCATCTCAACTCCATCATCCTCGCCCAATCTTCCCCGCTACTCACTGGCCTATTTATCCACGGATACCGAACGGACAGATTCCTTACATCGGGTGCATACGAAAAACTCGCAACGGCTAAGGGAGTCTAAAATGTGAAGACACGGATTGACTGCCTCCCGGTACCTGAGTACACCCTAATTCTGGAATTATTACAGCAGGAAGCCCACGAAAGTACAGTTTCAGGGCATTTCGGAGTGGTGAAAACACGACAACAGCTGACCATATATTATTCCTGGCCTGACATCCAAGGGGACGTGCAGCGGAACGTGGTTTCGTGTAGAAGATGCCAAACCATTGTGTAATCAAAGCAGAAGCCACCGGGACAGTTGCAGCCAATTCCACCGCTTGAGTGTGCGTGGCAACAGGTGACGACGGATTTCGTTACGGGACTGCCTGCCAAGGACGGCTGCAATGACACGATATTTGTCGTCGTCGATAAGCTGACGAAGATGGCTCATTTTGCCGCCTGCAAGAAAAGCATCTCAGCCAAAGAAACAGCCCGCCTTTTCATCTCGACCGCCGTTCGCTTCTGCGGAATTCCATCCGCTATCATTTCATATCGTCATACAAAATTCACCGGCAACTTCTGGCGCAACATCTGGGACCAGTTGGCACGCGTCCACAGTTCTTCTCTGCCTACCACCCCGAGCCCCGGGAGCAGCAACTGCCACTGATTGAGTTCGCGTATAATAACGCCCCGTTAGCCAGTAGCTGACAGTCACCATTCTACCTGAATTGCGGACAAAACCCTACAGTACCTATTACGCTCAACATCGAGAACCCAGTACCCCGAGCCCAAAAGTTTGCCAAAATATTACAGAATGTCCGGGATCGAGCAACAAAAGTCATTTAATGCGCAAATGTTATTTCTAAATGTAACGCCGATCTAGACCGACGAGCAGTAACTTACGAGACTGGAGACTTAGTATTAGTCGACACTCAAAACCTTCGGCTGCCTATCGTTCCAAAACTTCGCCCTCGCTACTGCGAACGATTCACAATCAGTCACATGATATCTTCCGTTACTGGCCACCTGGAACATCAACCCATCATTTCATGTGCGACTGTTATGACCATACATCGCAGCACCAGTAAATTACCGTGTCACCAGGCCAACCCGAACATCCGACCACACGCCGAACCTACTGTCGAACCTGCAACGATTCTTAGCCATCGGATCAAGGACCCTTGAGGGGCTTGCCTGATTGTCTTTCTGATATCCTGGAAGGACCGGACGCCGTGGAAAATAGTTGGGTGCCCCTGTCGCAGATCGAGAATTAACACGTATTACGAGTCTACCTCTAGTCACTCAGTGTGCGTGGCGTCGACGGTCTTAGCTAAGACCATACCTTGGAGGGGGGAGGGTGTAAGGAAATGATTTTTTCTTATCACGGGTTTTAGTTAGTAAGGCGTGAACTGTTGTAACGGGGTTGCCGCGCAGCTCTGCCACGAAATTCAAATCGCGGTACCCAACTGTGGCCTCCTGACGAGCAGTGTACATTTTGCCCGTCTTGCTGTTTTATGCCTACATCTAGGCGCTTTGCGCCAATTTACAAACCACACCGTCTTAGCTCTGCCGTGCCTCGCTATATCCATACTCCCTATTATTGTGATGTCTCATTGTGTTGTTTCCTCGTTTCTCAACTATTCTACACACGCTCTTTGCGCTTCATCACACCAGCTCCCACCCAATGGAGGTGGTTGTGGACCTACGACATACTTGCAAGCAGGGCTGAAAATATCTGGGTAATCACCCTGTCTTGACTGAAAATCCAAGGTTATTTTCAGCTTAGCCCGTATTTCGCCTAGGTTATTTTTCAGCCAGTCCGGATTCACACAGGGGGGAATTTTGCGGGACCTGATCCGGGGGAATTCCAGAGCGGCCCGGACCTTTTTCCTCCCTCCTAACCCCCCTTCCCTCACCAAACCCCCCCCCCCCCCTCCCTCAACCGTCTCCCCCCCACCTCCCCCGCCTTTTGGGGCCTCAAATTTTGCCCCCGCCCAAACTCGCCTCGCCACCACCCTCCCCAATTCCCTCCCCCAAATCTCGCCCCACACCTCTCAAAGCTGAGTACATTTGGGAGCCCCCTTGCTGGAAGCCGGGGCTGTCATTGCGTATTACTTACCGATTGAGTCACCCTCTTAGGTTTGTGAGTTCCCTTCTCCCCCCTCTTCCCCACGGCAGGAGCGAGGCCAAACCCGACAGCCATACCGAAGTAATGTCGTGGGTACATTTTCCCACCCCCCAAAAAATTGGCAGCACTCAGACCTTTTTCGGCTTGGACCCTGATTCATCGGAGCAATTTTCGGTTCGGCTCGTGTTTTACAGGGGTGTTTTCAGAGGGGCCCAAATCGTCCGGGCTACCAAAAAGCCTAGCTCAGGCCCTGCTTGAGATAGGTAACCCGTCAAAAGTGATGTGAACACCTAAACTGATCTCTAAAAACAAGTCTGAGAGCATTCTCTTGCGGAGCGATGATCCGAAAAGCCGCACTGTCCTTCTCGAGCCTGTTGCCCATGATATCTGACAGTGGGCTGAGGGCGCGGGACATCGGTTGTGTTACGCCAAATACCGAATCAATACGTATTTTTGGGCAGTACGAACCATTCCAGCGATGGTTCGAACCACCTGTCCAACCATGCATGCTGGAAGGTGTTAAAGCCGGCGACTACATTTGAGGGGGTTCGTGGTGTAGCTTTAGGATTTGTCGGCCTGGTATTGCGTGATTGGCTTACGAGAGAGGCGATACTGGAAAACTGACGACAGAGTATGCGGACTTCGCAAGCATCGAGAAGTGGGAGTTGCAAGATTGGAGGGGGGAAGGAAATTTTAGGGGGAGGGGATCGAAATTTGGGGAGAGGGGGGAGGGGGGGATCATAATTGGAGGGGGAGGGGGAATCGAAATTGGACGGGGAAAAGGGGAATCGCAATTGGAGGGGGAGGGGGAATCGCGATTGGAGGGGGGAGGGGGGAATCGCAATTAGAGGGGGAGGGGGAATCGCAATTGGAGGGGGAGGGGAATCGAAATCCTGGGGTGAGCCAAATCTGTACACAATTGTGATCGAGGCCAGATTCAAATGTTTTTAAAGGTTTGGGCGAGTTAGCGGCAAAGTAGCTCAGTCCATCAGGTTACCTCCTTTCAAATGTTTTTAATTTGAAAACAGCAACCACAAATGTAGACGCGGGCTTTAACCTGTCATGTTCCAAGTTCTGAAATTTAAACTCCCTAGTTCGAATTTTCGCGAAACCCAGAGACATTTCGCCAGCATACAACGCGTCGCGAACACCCCTCGGCAGGTTTTCGTGAGTTGGGACCGCCAACAAGGTAGGCAGTTCGTATGTGGCGGAGTGGCTGTTCGAACGGGTGAATTCGTGACGCATGTTCCATCGCAGTTATGAATTTGGGCGAGGAATTTTGTCGACTCGCGACACGCCCTCTCGAAATTCGCGAAAAAAGTAACTGCCCTGAAATTCATACCGTTTTCGAAATTACGAATTGGATGTCCCGCGCCCTGAGGCTGTCTAGAATCTAGCATCTTTTAGGGAGGTCACGACACATCCTAAGAGTCGTGTGTCCTGAGAAGGCGGAGCTATGGCGACAAGCCTAGCACCAGTTGTAGTTAAGGGAGAGAAGGAAGATCTCTCGAACCTTCACCTCGGTCACGGGTTGTCGCTTGTTCCGTACCGTGCGATTTCGCTGTCATTCGTGCGACAAGACGGCTTGCCGAAGCTCGTCAACCAATGGGAGCTGCGCGAAGCGATCGAGGCAAAATACAAGTTCCACGCGTCGGCTTCCAATTGGCCGACATTCAACGAGAAAGATCTCTCGATCTCCTGGACGAAGAACCTCGATAAGATCACACGTGGGGAGCCAATCGCCGTCGCGACGATCCTACTATGGGGATCTTCCGGAGAAACTATAGCATCTTCTGTAGTTTCTAACTTCGAGAAATGGGAGACTAGGGTTTCCGCGGCTCGAATCGCGTGTCATGCTGAGTCAGCAGATTCGCCTTCTTATGGCGAGCTGATGCGCGATTGGCTGGAAGACGAGTCCGGACGAAAGGGTGGTTTGGAAAAACGCCCGGATACGTTGAGGGTGTGCGGCATCCCGTGCCGTTGGCTGGCGGAAGAGCGGGTTTCCACGAAACCCTCGTTGCTGATCGCTCACACTGTCTTCTCGTCGTTTGGACCCATCATGTAAGACGATCGTCAGGTGCTACATCAGGTAGAATCGTCAGGTGCAAAATGTCAGGTGCATCATCAGGTAGGATTTTTAGGTACGAAGTATTGTCAGGTCGACTTATCAGGTGCGTCGCGAGGTAGGAATTATTAGGTTACCTGTCGAGGTTATTGTCATTAAAAGTATCCTCTTACAATTCCGCTTCATACACTTCTTTATAATGTTCCTCTCTTACATCAGCATCAAGCTTTCGAAACGTCTACACCTCCCGTCTTTTTAACCCCCCTCGTTACAGGAACATCGAGCTTCTAGACCCCAACGAGGAGCTCCCGCACGCTAGAGGCAGACACGGAGCAGGTCCGGCGGGATCTGGGAGGCCCGGACTGGGAATAGGTCCGGGAGCAGGTTTTGGAGGAGGTTTGGCGCTGAAGCTGGAGACGGACGTGATGGTGAGGTTCGGCAGCCACAGCACGTTCTGCGATGCCGTGAAGGCGCTGGCTCGACATGCGCTGAGGAAGGTGAGAGGGGTTGAAATACATGCAGCCTCACACACTGGTTAGCCATGCAGCCTCACACACTGGTTAGCCATGCAGTCTCACACACTGGTTAGCCATGCACCCACACAGGTTGACCATGCACCCATACAGGTTGACCATGCACGCACACAGGTTGACCATGCACGCACACAGGTTGACCATGCACCCACACAGGTTAACCATGCACCCACACAGGTTAACCATGCACCCACGCGGGTTGACCATACACCCACACAGGTTGACCATGCACGCACACAGGTTGACCATACACCCACACAGGTTGACCCTTCCTCGCTTCCCTTCAGCCACAGCTCGTTCTGTCATGCCGTGACTTCGCTGGCTCGACATGCGCTAAGGAAGGTGATAGGGTATGCATGCGGGAGGGAGGGAGCAGTTGGCAGAGGAGGAGAGCAGAGCATTGAGGCATCCCCCACCCCTCTTTGCTTTTCTCAAATGGCTCCTTGCAGGAGGACTCCTCGTCTCTAGCGAAAGTGCGGCTGCTGGTGGATGGGCGGGGGGAGGGAGGGGGCTTCTTTGACGAGAGGAATGTGCGGCTGCTCATGCTTCTCACCCGCAACCCCTGCCGCCTAACTGGTGTTCCATCGGACTCCCACCCACTTGCTTGAATCGTCCCTGGCAGGAAGGGTCCTCGTCCCTAGCGAAAGTGCGGTTATTGGTGGATGCGGGGGATTACTTCGATGAGAAGAATGTGAGAAGGAGACGGTTTGGGAGGGAGCAGAAGGCGGAGGAGGAGCGGCAGCAGAAGGAACGGGAGGAGCGGAGGAGGGTGGAGAAGGAGAGGGCGGAGAGGGAGAGGAAGGAGGAGGAGGAGAGGAAGGTTAGGGAGGAGGAAGAGAGGGTGCGAAGGTGAGTCACACACACACACACACACACACACACACACACACACACCCACGCACGCGCACACGCAGGCACACGCACACACACACGCACACACACACGCACACACACACGCACACACACACGCACACACACACACACACACACACACACACACACACACACACACACACACACACACACACAAAATATATGCATACATACATACATGTATATATGTATATATGTATATATTGCAAAATGTAGGAGCCAATTGGTTCGATCCATTTTCGTTTCTGAACCGTATTCTCCTTGGCACCAGCATGCGCTTCATTCATCTCCTCATCCCCACCCCAGTGTCGTTCTTTCTGGTTCGCTTCCTCGTCTCCCTGCGCCTGCTCCCCCGCCCACCCATCCCTTCGTCCCCCTGCGCCGCTCCCCCGCCCACCCATCCCTTCGTCCCCCTGCGCCTGCTCCCCCGCCCACCCATCCCTTCGTCCCCCTGCGCCTGCTCCCCCGCCCACCCATCCCTTCCTTTCCCTACCCCTGCTCCCCCGCCCACCATTCCTTCGTCTCCCTATCCCTGCTCCCTCAGCCACCATCCCTTCGTCTCCCTACCCCTGCTCTCCCCCCCGCCCACCATCCCTTCGTCTCCCGTTGACTCCCCTACCCCTGCTCATCACCCTATTTCCACTCCCCATACCAACACATCCTCTCTCTCTCCCTCCCTCCCTCTTCTTCTCAGGGAGGAAGAGGAGCAGCGCAGGAGGGATGTGGAGGAGGAGGCCGAGAGGCTGAGGCAACTGGAGGAAGAGGAGGAGAGGCGACGCCAGGAGGTGAGCGTTGCTCTTCCCTTTCGAGTCTTCTCAGCGAGGAGGTGTCGTTGAGGCCGAGAGGCTGAGGCAGAGAGGCCGATAGGTTGAGGCAGAGAGGCCGAGAGGCCGAGGCTGCTGGAGGAAGAGCAGGAGAGGCGACGCCAGGAGGTGAGCGTTACTATAGTTGTATCATGGTAAGCTTCAGCTTCATTGTGCACTTGGTGATTCTGAGTTTTGCGCTGGTGACTCGTGAGTGGACTCAGAAGTCCTCAGGAGGCCGAGAGGCCGAGAGGCTGGGGCAGCCAGAGGAAGAGGAGGAGAGGCGACGCCAGGAGGTGAGCCTCGCTTGCTCTGATAAGGTGCTTCTCTTGGGTGCCCAAAATGACATGTGTATCGTATCCATGTTTCTCCATCAGTTCCTTTGCACTGCATTGTATTTTTCTGCACCCCTTTGTGTCCTTAATATTGTATCTCCGCTCCCATTCCTCCTCCTCCTCGCTCTCTGTCTCTCACCCCCTCGCTATCTTTTGTTTCTTCCGCCGTTCCCTTCCCCCCAGCTCGCCCCTTTCTGAGGCGCCTCAAAAATAGACCCCTCCTCGCTCTCTGTGTCTCACCCCCTCCCGATCTTTTGTGTCTTCCACCGTTCCCCTCCCCCCGGCTCGCCCCTTTCTCTCTTCTCTGCTTGCCTGTATGTCAGGAGGAAGAGGAGGAGAGGAGGAGGCAAGAGGAGGAGGAGAGGATGGAGAGAGAGAGAAGAGAGGAGGAGGAGAGGATGCGCATTGAGGAGGAAGAGGAGGAAAGGAGGGAAGAGGAGGAGAGGAGGCGGGCGGAGGAGGAGAGGAGGCGAGGGGACGAGGTGGCAGCAGAAGCGCAGAGGCTGCGGCAGATGCTGCTGGACGAGGTGAGCTGCCTTGAGAGGCGACCCTGAGTTTATCCCAGAAGTCACTTTGCTACAGTGTTACACTGCCTCATGGTGGAGGTGGCAGCAGAAGCGCAGAGGTTGCGGCAGATGCTGTTAGGTGAGGTGCGTTTCTTGTCGTGCACAGGCACAGGCTCAGGCACAGGCTCAGGCTCAGTCAGGCATGACACGTGCTTTCTCATTCGGGCGTTCTCACCTTCCCTCCATTGCTCTCTCGTTCGCCCTCCCTTGCCCTCATCCTTCCCCTCTCCCGTGTCCTGCAGGTATCTATTCAGCTGCAGCCTTTGCGTCGACTCAAAAGCATTTTCCCTCCCTTGACCCCATGCTTCCCCTCTCCCGAGCGCCGCAGGGATATACTCAGCTGCAGCCTTTGAGTCGACTCAAAAGCATTTGCCCTCCCTTGCCCCCATGCTTCCCCTCTCCCAAGCGCCGCAGGGATATACTCAGCTGCAGCCTTTGAGTCGACTCAAAAGCATTTGCCCTCCCTTGCCCCCATGCTTCCCTTCTCCCGAGCGCCGCAGGGATATACTCAGCTGCAGCCTTTGAGTCGACTCAAAAGCATTTGCCCTCCCTTGCCCCCATGCTTCCCCTCTCCTGAGCGCCGCAGGGATATACTCAGCTGCAGCCTCCTACCGGGGGCAGGGACTGCAGGCGGGAGGATGAGGAGAGGTAGTGATCCCTGAAATGGCAGTGCTCACTCTCACGCTCTCATGCTCTCACGCTCCATACTCTGCTCGTCCTCACCCTTGCTTCTCCCTCCCATGCTGAAACCAGAGAGGCCGCACAGCTGCGGCCCGTGCTGGCGGCAGGGACTACAGACGGGAGGATGAGGATAGGCGGCCAGGGGCGAGGAGGGAGAGTGAGAGAAGGAGCAGGCGCGACGGCAGTCTAAGCCCGGAGGCGAGGGGGCGGCATGGCAGGAGTCCAAGGAGCCCGAGCCCCAGGTTGAGGAGGAGGCACCGCAGTCCCAGTCCCAGCCCTGCCTATCGATCACATCCCCATGATGGCCCTTCCCGACGCTATGGTAGTCCTGGTGGTGGGAGAGGTAGACGCAGCCCAAGCCCATATGGAGGGAGGGACAGGCGGAGCCCTTATAGGGGAGGCAGGGGCGACAGGGGCGGCACAGAGAGGAGCCCGTATAGGGGCAGGGACAGGAGCCCTTATGGAGGACGGAGGGACAGGAGCCCTTACCGGGGTAGTTTCCGAAGGAGCCCTGAGCGCAGGGGGGTAGACCACCGCAGAGCCCACAGGAGCCCGAGTCCCAGCCCTAGGGGGAGGGTGCCGACTGGCCGGAGGGGCAGAAGCAGCAGCCCTGGTAGAGACAGGGAGGAGAGCCCGAGAGGAGGCAGGGGTGGGAGCCCAAGGACGAGGGGTGAGAGAACAAGGGGGGACAGTCCTGCGGAGAGGAGAAGGGCGGTGAGCCCCAGGGGTAGGGGCATCAGCCCAAGGCCGCGTGGGCGCAGCCCCAGCCCCAAGCGCATGGGGCACAGACGCAGCCCGAGCCCCAGTCCCAGGGGGCATGGCCACAGCACGAGCCCCAGCTTGCGGGGGAGAGGAGGGGGGGTGCATTCTGAGGCACGTCAAAACAGGGGCAGTCCTAGCCCCAGGTTGAGGGGGGGAGCGCGCAGCCCCAGCCCCAAGCAAGGGGGAGGAGAGGGCGGTGAGGAGGAGAGGGTGGGCAATGGGGGGGGTGGTGCGAGGGGCAGAAGCAGAGGGCGGTCGGAGGAGTCGGATGGCTCCGGCAGCCAGGGGGAGGGGGTGAAGGTGAATGAAGGAGAGGAGAGGGGGGGTGAGAGGAAGAGAGCGAAGCGGGCGCCTGAGGAGATGGATGAGGGGGTGGAGGGGGATGATGATAAGAGGATGCGCCAGGGGGGAAAGGGGGAGGGTGATAAGGGAAGAGGAGTTGAGGAGGAGAGGTGGAACGGACGCAGGGAGGGGGGTGAAGGAGGGAGTGGGAGTGAGAGCGAGAGTGGGAGTGGGAGCGGGGGGGATAGTGGGAGTGGAGGAAAGGAGAGGGGCGTGAGGGGCAGACGAGGGCGAGGCACAAGGGAGGCGCTCCAACAGCAGCAGGAGCAGAAGGAGATTCTTCGTCTGGAGCGTGAGCAAGGGTATGTGTGAACAACAGTGTAAGAGTAGTAGGGGTTCACTCAATAGAGATGTAATGCCATTTTATATGGCATCATTCCCATTGAATCTCCATTTTCTGCACCCTCTGGATTATGCATGCGCGCTGTTCACCTTCCCGTGTTTGTGTTTTTGCAGTCTCCGAAAGGAGCTTCAAAGGCGCATGGCTGAAATGCAGTCCCGTGGGTGAGTACAAAATTTATGTTGTCATGGTCCGTGTGGCAGGGTAGGTTTTATCGTTAATTACTGGGATTTGGAATTCATGTTTAGCTTTTATGCAATGATGTAGAAAGGAATGTTAGGTGGATTGGATGTATGAACCTGCTACTTCGGTTTTCATTATACACAGCTGTACTGGCTCGCTTACGCCATATAAGCGTTGGGCATGGCGAATTTGACGTGATCATGATTGGCACTGAGAAGAAGCAGCCTCGTGTGGTCACACTTATCTGACGCTGATCCGACGTGTTCGTACTTTGCTGGGGTCCTTCCATTGCTTGGCGCCGGATTCCGTCAGCAAACCTTCACCACATGTCATTTCCACACGGCTAGCCAATGGATCCACGTGGCAAAGCAAACCGAGCGACTCAACCAAGGACCGCTCCCAGCGCGTGTGATCATCCTGACCTGACTCCCCCTACGCGATCTGCGGAAATTTCAGTCCATTTTCACAGTTCGCGAGGGCCATTGCTGATTCGAGAACATTTCGTGAGGTTCGCATGGTCGTTGTCAGCTCGTCAGGGCTGGCGAGCGTTTCGAGAAGCACCCAGGGATTGGGTGGACCTTGGGGTTGGCTGCACTGCACCAGCCAAAACCACCGGCGGCTACTACTGCACTAGTTTTCCCGCCAACAGGTTTATGGCAAAATCTTCACTCCAGACCAGAATTCTGAATCCTCCTGAATCCTAAAAGTCGCTGTTTGGTCCTGCTGGGAGTGGTGTTAGCTTATCCTGGTGGATGGATGGCCCCTTCACTCGTTCACGTGGCTCTTCCCTGCTCCGTTGTGTTTACTGAGCTGCAGTACTGTACCACAATTACAACTCCTTGCGTTTCTTGTTCACTCGTGTTGACCGATCTGCACTAGTAGTATGGTTTCTTGTTCGCTCGTGCGAGAATTAGATCGCGGCTCCTGAGTTGGTGCAATCAAAAGGCATGGTCAGTCATTTGAGTAGCCTTGCGAAGCGAGCCGCGCGTTCTTACTTCAAGACTGCGATTAGAGTGTGCAAAATCGGTCCTGTGTGACAGTGTAGTTCAGGAGTCTGACTAACAGCATGACAGCTCGTGCAGCAGCGTCAGCAAGCTGCATCATAATCGCGTTCTTCAGACCTGTTTCACGAGCCTAATCGCGTTTTACATTCTTGTTTCCCTATCTCCAGCAAGAGCGATGTGTGTCCGCCTGAGCCACGCGGATTAACACGCACCGGAAAGCCGGGAACCTCCTCGGCAACGGGGAGGCCCCATGGACTTAGCAACCGGTGCCAGCTGGCACTGCCCAGCAGCCGCCACGTGTCGCTCCCGCAATGCTGCCCGCCTGGTGGGTCAGACTCCCCATTCGTCGCTGGCGCGATCCCCCAGTGGAGCAGCTCCCCTACGCGCGGGGTACAGGGCATACCAGCAGCCCTTTATTCAGGGGCCAGTTCAGGGGACTTCCCTTTCACCCCGGTCGCTGAATGGCTTTCTGATTGGCCAGTCGTCCCCCGATGATTTGAGATGTTCGCACCATTGGAGGGGACGACAGCTTGGTCTTGTAACGATTCACCTTGTGACGCAGGATTCTGGAATTTCTCGATTCGAACGGAGACGAGGCCTTTATCGGAGGGTGGCTTCTTACCCTAACCCGTTTCGGTTTTCGAGTCAAAGAAGAGTGCCGTACGCGATACAAGGTGCTGGCTCACCGGGACCAAGAAAATGCCAGCTGATTGCCAATGCGGTTGCGGGACCAGGTGACTACAGCCGTAACGGCAGGAACAGCCCCGGTAGAAGTACTGTTGGCGGAGGCTCCAGTACCGGGTATGGTTTGAGACCTGCTGCCTCAGGGCTCGGCAATGGCTACGGCAGCAGCTGCAGCGGCCGCAGCGGCGGTGGCGGGAGCAGCAGCAGTGGCGACGGTGATGATGGGGGCAGTTACACTGTGCGTGAAAGTGGCAGGTTAGGAAGTGGCTCTGGAATCGGTGGCTCTGACAATGGCAGGAACGGAGGCGAGGCGCCACACCAGTCACAGCAGCAACGACATTGGCACCAGGAGCAGCAGCGGCAGCAGCAGCAGCAGCAGGGGCGGCAGCAGGGGCGGCAGCAGGAAGAGCGCAGGGCGGAGGGTGCGGGGGAGCAAGGCAAGGTGGAAGGCAGCGCGCAAGTCAGTGTTCAAGGCAAGGTGCAAGACAGTGTTCAAGGCAAGGTGGAGGGCAGCGTGGAGCTGGAGGTGGCGATCTTCGAGTTCATGCTCGCCCACGGCCACCCCGACCGCTTCCCCACGCGCCACGAGCTGCTCGCCGCCGGCAGGCAGGACCTGGTGGAGGCGTGCCTGGCGGACGGCGGGTGGCTCAGCGCGGGGTGGGAAGTGGGGGTCGCGGGGGAGGGGGATGCGGGGAAGGGGGGTGGGGTGAAAGTGGATGGGGGGGGGGACGAGGCGGAGGTGACGGGAGCAGGGGGGAGGAGTGTTGGGCAGGGGAGGTTTCGGGTACAGAGAAGTGTGGGGAGGGGCGGCCATGGCGGATGGAGGGATGACAGGGAAAGCAGAGAGAGCCAGCTAGGGCAATGGGCTGGAAGTCAATGGGGTAGCTCAGGTCAAACGAGCAGTTTCGTTCAACGGAATCAACAGCACGCTGAACAGGTGGATGATGCTGACGTGGACTTGGATTCAGGGTTTTGGTCCGCGATGCTCTCCCCGCCCTCTCAGCCGATCCCTCCGCCCTCTCCGCGCATCACTCCGCCAGCAGCGGGTGGCAGAGAGCAGGCCTGGGCAGAAGGTAGAAGTGCGGGCGAGGGAGGCTTGAGAGAGGGTCGAGCCAAATCAAGAGGGGTAGGAATGGGAGGGGAGGGAGGTGAGGGGGGAGAAGGAGGAGGAGGAAGAGAGGGGTGGAAGGAGGGAGGGAGAACGGGGTCGATGTCAGCAGGAGGCGTGAGGAGGTCTGACTTGAGAGGCGCAGGTGTCAAGGGGAGAGGAACAGGGACTGGAGCAGCGGACTGGAGAGCGGACGTTCTGCCTGGGCTGGACACACCCGTAGACCCCACACCTGGAATTCCCCCTGCCCCTGCCCCGGCTCCTCCTTACGACTCCCCCCCCTCCGCTGCCCCTCCCGTCTCCTCACTTGACTCGTTATCAGAGCCTCTATCCTGGGCGCTCGAGGCTTCAAACGAGGATGCGTCCTCGGGGTCAGAGGGAGAGGGGGGAAGCAGCAGCGAGTGGGACGCGTCATCATCAGAAGAGGAGGACGAATTCGCTCCAGACGAGGAAAGAGTTTCCGTTTCCACCTCAGAGCAGGGAGGAGAGTCAAGCGGGGAGGGAACGGTCTCTTTAAGCAAGGAAAATAACACCCCTCCTAGTGCGACCCCCCCTAGTGCGACCTCCCCTGGTGCGGTGCGGGGAGCGCAGATGCGGCTATCGTCGCTCTTCCAGCAGCTTGGGCTGCCCGCCATAGAGTGGAACCCGGGCACCAGGGGACTGAGCAGTGCACAAGGGGGGCAGGGGGGAGCTATTGAATCGACTCAAAAGCAGCAGCTGGGGCTGCCGGCGATAGAGTGGGACCCAGGCACCAGGGGACTGGGCAGTGAACTAGGGGGGCAGGGGAGTACAGATGGGTCCTTGGGGAGAAAACTGGCCAAGGGTAGTCTACCCGAAGTGCAGGAGGGTACGAAAGGGGCGGGGGTTGGGAGTGAGAGTGAGGGTGAGGCTGATGGTGCAGGTGGCGGCGTGGATAGTGGTTTGGGGAGAATCGCAGGAGGGGAAGGGAAGAGTGGGGGGGAGGCGGGTGTTGCTGAAAGGGCGGGGGAGAGGGCGCGGAGAGGGGGTGGGAGGCGGGGGTACGTGAGTGGAGAGGAGGGGGAGAAGCGGAAGAGGAGGAGGAGGCGGCCGAGTGGGAAGAGGAGGAAAGTGGAGGAGATACAACCTGTCGAGTACGTACCTGCACCAACTCCAAGGTGTTCCCATCCCTTTTCCGAAAGAGCGTCGTTGTTTCTGAATCTTTTAACAGATTGGTTTAAGTTTTTAGAATACACAGAAAGCAGCAGCACGCAGGGCGAGGCCCCTCCTTGCACCCTTTTCCCCCACATCTTCCCTCATCCCCCTCCCAGCCCTCTTGTTCTGCGCAAGCAGTTACAGGAGTTCTCAAGCGCGGCAGGGCATCATGCCGACACAGGAGCAGCTGAAGCACGCAGGGCGGGGCGCACCTGGCAGCAGCGCTGAGGCAGCTAGCGAGGGAGCAGGCAAGGGTGGGGGGCGGCCGAGACGAACCCCTTTCCCTCATTTTTTTCTCCCCCTTTCCCTCTTCCTCACTCCTCCCTCCCCCCCACCCCTCTCCCACCCCATCCAGTCTCCTGGTCCTGCGCCAGCAGTTACAGGAGTTCTCAAACGCGGCAGGGCACCCAGGCATCATGCCGACACAGGAGCAGCTGAAGCACGCAGGGCGGGGCGACCTGGCAGCAGCGTTGCGGCAGCTGGCGAGGGAGCAGGCAGGGGGGGACGCAGGGAGATCAGGACAGGGGCGGGAAGAGGGAGGAGAAACGGGGGGAGAAGGGGCGCAAGGGGGAGAAGCTTCGGGTCAGGGAGGGGGGACAGCAGGTGCGAGGATAGGGAGACAGGAGACGGGCGTGGGGAAGACAGGGAGTGGGGGAAATGCAGCGCCAGGATCGGAGGAGGGAGCGAGGGAGGGCGAGGAGGGGAGGGCGCTTGGAAGGGCGAGGGGGTGGAGCGAGGTGGCGAGGCTAATGGGGCTGGGGAGGCGGAGGAGAGGGCGGGCAGCCAGTGGGGAGGATGGGGGTGTGGATGGTGCTGTGGATGGTGCTGTGGCTGGCGGTGTGGGTGGCGTTGTGCCGGATCTTCCTGAGGAGTCGGTTGTCACGAGCAGTCCTGTCAAGGTGGGTGCATGGTCGCTGGTGGTGGTGCTGCTGCTGCTGCTGGTGCTTTTTGTTGGTGTTTCTACGAGTGTGAGTGCACAACCCAGGGGGCACCAGAGGAGCCATACATCCTTCCCCTCCCTACCATGTCCCCTCTCCCGCCTTACTAACCCTCTCCACTCTCAATCAACCCTCTCCACTCCCAATCAACCCTCTCCACTCCCAATCAAACCTCTCCGCTCCTAACCAACCCTATTCCCTCCCAATCACTCTCCCGTCCAACACACTCCTCTCTTCTCCCTCCGCCCATTCTGCAGCCACGCAGACCAGTGGGGCGCCCAATAAATGGCCCTCCCTTAGTGCAAGCAGCAGCAGAAGAGACAACCATCCTTCCTTTCCTTCTTTCCGCCCCCCCTCTCTCTCTCTTGCTAATCCTCCCTCCTCCTCCCTTCCCTTCTGCAGCCGCGCAGACCAGTGGGGCGCCCAAGAAAAGGCCCTTCCTCAGTGCAAGCGGCAGCAGACGAGACAGGGAGGGGGGGAGCAGAGGAGCCAGGTGTGGGATCGAGTACTGGTGGTGGCCGAAGTGAGTGGTGGAAGGGTATGGGAGAGGAGGGGGAGACAGGGAGGGGAGCAGCACAGGAGCCAGGTGTGGCATCGAGTTTTGGTGGTGGGCTGGTCGAGGGGGTGAGGGTCAACGATGGGGGGGGTAAGGCGAGGAGATTAAAGGAGGAGGAGGAGAAGGAGAGGGGGAGGGTGGATGATGGGAGCGTGGTGGAGGGGAGGGTGGCGGAGGGGAGTGTGGCGGAGGGGAGTGTGGTGGAGGGGAGTATGGGGGGTGTGGGGAATTTGGACGGCTTTGATGCAGCACTGAGTGCCAGCCTGGCGAATCTGATGGCGTTCAGGAAGAGGCTGCAGTCGCTGGAGGGGTGGGATGGCAGGGCAGCTGCTGGTGGCGCTGCTGCCAGACCAGCTCAAGATCCCGCACGGCCCGCAGCTGACGAGCCTGCAGAGAACCTGATAACGCCTCCCCTTCAAGCCCAGATAACGCCTGCCTCCCAGGCGCAGCCAGCACCTGTTGGGAAAGAGGAGGTCGCACCGTCTCCAGAGGGGCCTGCCCCAGGAGCACCTGCCCCAGATGCACCTGCCTCGAGGAAGAGGCGGCGGAGGGTGACGAGGAAAAGGAGTGAGGGCAAGGCTAGGAAGAAAGAGGACGCAGGGATGGGTGCTGCTGACACTGATGCTCGCGATGTGGCTGGTGCTGCTGGTAGTGCTGCTGCTGGTGCGTCCGCTGATGCCGCTACTGCTGCTGGTGGTGCTGTTGCTGATGCGCCTATTGCTGGTGCTGCTGGTGCTGCTGGTGACCTGTCTGCTGCTGGTGGTGATGTCGGGGACGCCTCTGCTACAGTTGCAGATGCGCTTTCACAGCTTATCGGGTCCTTCCAACCATCAGCACCACCATCACCACCAGCAGCAGCAGCAGCAGCAGCAGCAGCAGCAGAAGCCGCAGCCACAGACACCACAGACCCCCAACTCGCCCCTGATAATAGGGCGAAGAATAAGGAACCTCCCTCACCGCTGCGCAAGTTGCCATTACCGCCTCCCCCTCCTTTGCCAGATGTGCCTCCCCCAGCTGCTGCCTTCCTCAGGCGCGACCCGGATGACCTGGCGGGGGTGACGGGGCGCATCAGATCCCTTGAGCAATCGCTGGCCGCTACGCGTGCTGCGCTGAGGCAGGGGAGGGAGGCGCTGAGTCGACGCGATGCTGAGTTGGAAGAGGTGAGTGCTGAGCTGGAAGAGGTGAGTGCTGAGGTGGCGGAGGTCTATTGGTTGATGCATATCACAAAGATCGCATTTTTGAAATATATATATATATATGACTAATTCATTCATCAAGCACATCTTCCTCCTCCCACCCACCACCAGATGCACAGTCGCACGAGGAGGGACTTCATATTTGAGGTGCCTAAGAAACACAGTCGCACGAGGGGGGAGTAGCTGCCGTGAGGCGCCTCAAGTTTCTCGCAACCCTTCCCCACCCTCTCCCCCCCGTTCCCTCCTCCCCCTTTCCACTCCACCCCTTCCCCCCCGCTTTCCAACCCCCTCCCCCCCCCCCCCCCCTTGTCAGCACCATCAGACACGCGATGGCACAAGAGGGGTGTTGCTGCTATGAGGCGCTTCAAGCTACTTGCAATGCAACCCCTCTCCCCCCTCTCTCCCCCCTCTCTCTCTCCTCTCTGCCTCCTCTCTCCCCCCCCCCCCCCAGCGCCTTTTCCACTCCCCCTCCACTTGGAGGTGCTGCGGCTGACAGCCTCGTTGGAGTTTGGGGAGTGTGAGATGCTACGTACCACATCGCCCCCACCGTCCTCCTCCCGACCCTCCCATCCCCCTCGTCCTCTTCTCATCGGCCCTGTTTCCCCCCCCTCTATTCTTCCTCTCCCTCCCCCCCCCACCCAAATCAGATGCGCAATCGCACGAGGGGGGAGCTGCTGCGGCTGACAGACTCCCTAGAGTTCAGGGAGAGCGAGATGCTGAAGACAAGGGCTGAGCTGCGCTCTACGCGGGCTGAAGTGACGGCGCTTGAAGGCAGATTCGCCGCTGAGTTCAGGTGAGCGTGCCACTCGTGGCTGAGGGGACAGGAGGGGTCAGGGAGAGCGAGATGCTGAGAACACGGGCAGAGCTGCGATCGACTAGGGCTGACGTGACTGCCCTGGAGGGAAGATTCGCTGTAGAGTTCAGTTGAGGGCGAGAGTGTGGAGTTGAAATGTGTGTGGAGCCCAAGGTGCCATTGGGCGTGATAGCTGGAGCTTGGGTGAGACTGCCACTAGTCGAGGCCCACTCGCACGGTGTGGCCAACCCCTCCTGCTGTGCTCTTGCACCTTCTGCTTCCCTCCCTGTGCCTGCTTTGGCAGAGAGACAAGGAGGGTACTGGAGGAGAAGGATCAGCAGCTGGGGGAGCTGCAGGTGGCGACCGTGCAGCTGAGGCGCACTCTGAGTCGCTCTCAACCCTGCTATGTTCTACCACCACCTGTTTTATCCTTTCCCTCTCAAATCTCTACATTCTCCCGCCAGGGAGACAAGGAGGGTGCTGGAGGAGAAGGAACAGCAGCTGGGGGATCTGCAGGTGGCGTTTTGAGGTGTCCCTAGTTCAGCAGCTACCAGGTCTGCAGCTGGCGTATGTGCAACTGAGGCCCAATCGAGAGGTGTGGCCCAGCCCCTTTGTGCTCTTGCAACTTCTGCTTCCTTCCCTGTGCTTCCCCTGGCAGGGAGACAAGGCGGGTGTTGGAGGAGAAGGATCAGCAGCTGGGGGAGCTGCAGGTGGCGTACGTGCAGCTGAGGCCCACTCGCGTGGTGTGGCCCAACCCCGGCAACGAAGTGCTGCTCACCGGCTCCTTCAACGGCTGGACCAACCGGGTACGGTCGTTTTGGACGTCTTGTACAGTTGGGCCAACCGGGTGTGGTTGTTCTAGACACATGTGAGTCGACTCAAGGCAGGCCCTCTCGAGTGGTGTGGCCCAACCCCGGCAACGAAGTGCTGCTCACTGGCTCAATCAACGGCTGGACCAATCGGGTACAGGTGGACCAAGTGGGTATGGGTGGACTAACCGGGTACAGGTGGACCTAGAAGGTACGGGTGGACAACCGGGTACGGGTGGACCAACCGGGTACTGTCTTTGTTTTCTTTTTATTCTTCCTGGCTTGGAAGCATCTGTGTGATTGATTGTGAAGTCCCTGTTTCTTTCTCTGTGTATTTTTAACCACTGGTTTCCTGGGCAGATTAAGATGATCAAGTCGAATGCTGGGGTGTTTGTGACAACTCTTCATTTGTACCCCGGACAATATGAGGTATGCTTGTCGCTGTTCCCATGTTTCTTACCGCCAGCCTTGTCCTACTACCATCGCGCAATGCCTATCAAGGTGCACTTGTGGTGCTTGTTTCCAACAAAAATTGTGTTCAAGAATGCACAAGTATTGTGACAAGCTCCCATAAAAATGCATCGCACTCTGTTTTTGCAGGTCAAATTTATAGTGGATGGCAATTGGAAGGTAGACCCTCGCAGGCCCATCATCTACACCCCAAGTGGCCACGAGAACAACATCCTAGTAGTCACTTAGATGTTGTGGGTGATTTAGTTTGACTCAGTAGGGTAGAGTAAGACTCGAACCTTACTGTGAAGTTGACTAGCTGAATGGGTGGGAAAGGTGTTATGTACTCAACACCGGCTCCAGGAATGAGCAATGCTGCAACAATCTAGATATGGATGCTTGCACTCAATGGCGTGGTTGACTGTTTGGTCAATGGCAAAATGGGTGGATTTTGTGGCATAATTTCCACGAGACGATTGTTTATTTGGTGCTCCTCAAGACTTCTTATAATAGCACACAATTTCATACGAAAGTGGAATGAGGAAATTTTGTAGGAAAGAGGACATATGACGAGTTTCAGGGTTCACCCGTGTTTTCGTTAGTGGAGCGCAAATACCGGAGCCCGCCAATCGTTGCCATTGAATAGATTCTGTCGGTCAGACTAGAACACGTGAAAACAATCATCAGGAATCAGCCTGAGCTGGGGGAAAAGTGTGGGCGTGCCAAGCGAAACAAATTTATATTCGATATGCTTGCCACAAAAATAGAGTGGAATATATCATGTCAAGGTGACCCCGCTCGCCAAAAACATTGTTTTCAGGATCTACACCTCAGCCCGCGCGAAAAGCTAGGAAAAAAGACTGTTCTACCGTCACGAAATGATGTCAGCATGCTGGTCACCACGTGTCTGCAGTTGCCAATGCCTGCATCAAGGTTCCTGCTCGCAGGTTTCCCGGGATGTTTTTCTCCCACAGCCGTGCTTTTGGGATTGATTTCATTGGTCACAAGCCTTGGCTGTTCGCGGGAGTATGTTTGTGGTCTTCGTGCAGCCTCCTAGACAAGCGCAACGAAGTTCGGCCCCGCTCATTGGTCAGGCATCCGGAGTGCTGGGCCCGTTTGGCACTCAGTTCACCCCAAGTACAGTGTCCCCCCGGTGCTGCTTCCTCCAAGGACTGTGCTGACGTTAGTTACACTGGCCGACAGCCTCCCACGTCATCAAAGCGAGAATGAAATCGAGGAGATGTGGGGCAAAACAAGGCGGGAAATGGAGATCTGCCAGCGTGGTGGGGAAATGATGCCAAAGCAGAACCGAGCAGAGCAGACTGTTGGTCCGTCAGCTGGTCGCTGCTGTGATTGGACGTGCTCGTATAGGCCAGGCTGCCTGCGTGCCTGCCAGGAGATATTGTACGTTGTTACCCTCCCTCTTGCAGGTGGCTGTATGGGGCATGGCTGTTTTATTCCCAGCAGATTGTTACTGCTCCACTTGCCAGACTCGTCTCTTTCTAGAAATAACCCCCAGGGGCATCCTTCTGCTTTGAAATGTTCCACCTCGGTGCTTGCTTGTGTGTGTGAGACTACGGCATTCCTCCGTTTATAAGCTTTCGCCCTAGGGTTTCGACCTAGCTCCTTCCATCCATCACTCTGCTTCATATCTCCCTGAGGTCTGGCTCTTTCCCCCAAAAAGCACAAGTAGGCTTCTTGCATACTTCCCTGAGCGCGTTTCTTGCTTGCGCTGAGCACGTATTTATACCGAGTCCGTCACAGGCGTCGATACTCCCACATTCGTGTTAACGCGATGGACTGCTGTGCTGCCAGATCCATCTTCCTCCATAGCGGCTCACCCATGATTCCCTGCTCGTCGCTGTCGTCGCGCCAATGCCGAATCCCAAGCGGTAACGTCGCGCCATCTGCCAAAACCCCCGTGAGCCATCTCGGCTGGGGATGTTCCCAAGACCACCACCCATCCGCCTCTCGACCCACCGCAGCACCCACCAAGTTTCTTGAACCCGAACGTCTGACCGAGCGTCCCAGATCTTCCCAAGCTGCCCGCTTCGCTGTTGACTCGCCGTGCTCTCCAATGAGCGTCCTCGACAAGGACGACGGCAGCATGACGTGGAACGAGCCGTTTTTCCTAGCAGAGGCTTCTGCGGGCCTCGTGGAGTGCAACAACAGAGGGTGCAGACCCGTCTTCAGAAAGCAGTGGGCTCCTGAGGTGACTGACTCAGGTAGAAGCGGCGCGGATGGCCATGCGCTGGGTTCTTGCTTGGCATTGGATGGCGCGGAGATCGAGGGTAGGGCTACTGCATTTCGGCAACGGCAGGAGATGAGTGCTCAGAGCAGCAAGGGAAGGCCGAGTTTGCCGACGGAGTTCGCGGAATTCGTGAACGAGGTGTGGGTGGAGACGGTAACAGCGGAGAAGTACTTTCGCGACGCCATGCGAAGATCGCCGTACGACGTGCGACTGTTGACGAGCTTCGCGCAGTTTTCGTGGCAACGACTGCATAACAAGTCCCAGGCGGAGGACCTGTTTCAGAAGGCGTTGAGCGAATCGCCCGACAACTCCGATGCTCTCGCGAGCTATGCTCTCTTTCTCTGGGAAAGCGAAAGCGAGAGCGAGGGGGAGAATTGACGGACCTCAAACTAAGTGTCGCCAAATCGGCGCGCGTTAATATTCATTACAATGCATCGCCTGTTAGGAGAGTGCGGTGCGCCTAGTGAGGTTTTTAGGCCGAGGCATTGTGCAGCCATTGGTTTGCTCCTGAGAGCACGTGCCTCGGAAATGTCAATCACAAGTGTTCAAATGCCTTGGCTAATGCGGTCTATACTGGTATTATCTCCAACTCTTCTCAGTAGAGATCAGGTTGGTGTATGCATGGTACTACAACATTGAATCGGTAGAGCATTGAAGTGTCTACCAGAAAGGGTTTTTGGACATCTCTGACAGCTAGTCTGTTTTATTTATTTGAAGTATGTTTATGTTCATGAACAAATATTGTTTCTTGCAATATTTTGAGTTCTAGTTAGTGTTTCTGGTCCACGCAACTGAACAATGCATGGGTCCCCTCTGCAACGAGGGTGTTGTTCCTCATCTGAGGTGTGCAGTCTACACTCTATATTACATAAACGAGCAAGCTGTAGTGTGTGTTGGGCTGATAAAAGCCTTTGGGATCTTTCCAGAGACTAAGTCCCAGTTGTAGAGACTTTGAGACTTGAGTAGTGCAGCGGAAGTTTGAGGCAGTTGAACCCTTGTACTAGTATGTGAGAACAAGTGATTGATTAAAGAAACAAGCATACAGCAATATATAGAAGATAAGAAAGCAGTTGCAGAGTACAGTTACAGGGACGGTTTATCGAGTCGCATAGCGACTCGATTGCCGCTTCGGTTACCATCCGTGATGTTGTAACGGTCAGTCGCAACCTCCAGTTGCGACCTTTTCGAGTCCTTTCGCATTCTTTGTCCGCCCCCTCGTGTAACCCCCGTTGACTCGCGTGCTTCCCTGTAGTCTTCTTCGAGTGCAGTGTTACACTTCAGAAACGTTTAAGTCCTTTGAGATATTTCCAACACTCCCCTTCGTTTCTGGAGTGCTGACGTGTTCGGGTCCGGTGACGTTTATTTGCCCGGTCAGGAGCATGCAGTAGTCGAATTTTGCTTTCGCCAATTTCTTCGTCAGGTAATCTGCGGCCATTTCTGTCGTCGGGCAGTAACTGAGTTGAAGTCTCCCCTTCGCGATTTCATCATTGACGAAGAAGTACCGCAGGGCGATGTGCTTGGTTCGGTTTGCGAAGCCGTCCTTGTTCGCGATTTTGATCGCAGATTGGTTGTCGCAGAGGAGTGAGAAGGCGGGCAGGGTCGCAATCTTCGCTTCCTCGAGTAACTCTCGTAGGTAGAGTCCTTCCTTGGTCGCAGGACAAAGGGCGATATACTCTGCTTCAGCCGAGGATAGTGCGATTAACTCCTGTTTGCTCGACTGCCTGGAGATAGTTCCGATAGGTTCTAGTCGGTAGATGTAGCCCGTCCTAGATCGTCGATTTTCGCTGTCTCCCGCGTGGTCGGCGTCGACGTATCCGAGTAGTCGTACGGACGGCGTTGTTGCCTTGCTGTAGGTGAGCCCGATCGTCGGCGTGGAGACGAAGTAGAGTAGCGCTCGATTGAGTTCTTCGAGATCTTCCTGTTGCGGCTGCTTCAGATGTGTCGCCAATTGACTCGCGCTATAGGACAGGTCGGGTCGGCAGGTTACTGCTGCGAATAGTAGGCAGCCGAGCTTCTGTTGATACTCCTGGATTTGTTTCTCGGGGAGTTTTGCGGAGGCGCTGTTGTTGTTCCCGTAGCGGTAGGGGGTTGAGACCGCAGTCGGTGTTAGGCCGAATTTCTTCGCGACGGTGCCTGAGTACTTTCCAGCATGTAGGTAGAACGCCGTGTCGTCCTCGACGACATTCAGTCCTAGGTACTGGGTGACTTCGTCGGACACCGTGTGTGTCAAATCTTCTTTCAGCTCCCCTTCGAACCAGGTGGCGATGTCGGTAGTGGAGCCGATGTAGAGCAGGTCGTCGACGTAGACGATGAGCAGGACATACTCTCTTCCCTTCTGCAGTCGGTACATCCCTTGGTCATGCGGCAGCTGCAGGAATCCGATCTTTGTGAGACGGCCGTGAAGATGCTGCTGCCAGAGCCGCGGGGCTTGCTTGATCCCGTATAGGGATTTTGTCAGTCGGCATACTTTCGTGGGGTCGTCGATGAATCCGTGGGGTTGTTCGACGAAAATCTCAGCGTCCACAGGTGCGTATAGGAACGCATTCGCGACGTCGATTTGGCGCAGTGGTAGTGTCTTCGTGGCCGCGACGGCGAGTAGGATGCGTAGTGAGGTGTGACGGGAGACTGGAGCGAAGGTTTCTGTGTAGTCGGTTCCGTATCGTTGATCGAAGCCTCGTACGACCCATCGAGCTTTGAATCGTTCGATGGAGCTGTCTGAGTTGGTTTTGATGCGGTACACCCATTTCCCCGAGAGGACATTCTTCCCGTTGATGCTTGTTGCAGGTACCAGTTTCCATGTTTCTCGGTCTTGCAGAGCTTTTAACTCCTTTTCCATCGCTTCCTTCCATTTTGCCTTATGTTCCCCCCCCAGAGCCTGCGACAAGGTTGAAGGCTCACGCGGAGAAGGCGGCGGCGGGTGCTGGACGGAGACCCAGAGGCCTAGAATCTGCAGTCCAGTGGGTGTGTGTCGAGGGGAATTTTCATTCCCGGAATAAGCTGCTTCGTCACCGTCTTCTGTGTCAGGTGAGAAGTTGGGGCCGATGCGTTCTGAAATATTGGTGTCGACTGGGTGGGGTGTAATGTAACCTTGGTCAGCGAAGTGGTAAAAGGTGTCGATGTTGTTACTATCGAGAGGATTGTCGTCGTCGAGTGGAACAGGTACGGAACAGAATGGGAGTGGTCCGGCGGTTTCCGAGGCTCCAGGTACGTCTTCTTCTGCCGCGTCAGCTTCGGCAGCACGATCGGCGAAGGAACGAAGTCCCGAGAAGCCGTCGGTGGGGTCTTGTGTGTTGGCAATGTTGTCCAGGTAATGCTGCAGCGTCAGTCGCTCGTAGAAGATAACGTCACGTGATGCCACCGTATTTTTGTCTTGTATGTCGAGAATTTTCCACGCGTGAAAATGTTTGGCGATGCCGAGGTGTAATCCCCAACGAGCTCGTTGTGTGAAGCGTCCTGCTCGGGCTGTGTGGGGTCTGTACTGTACCATGCAGCCGAAAACCCGGAGTAATTTTGTGCTGCCCCTTTTTCTTGTCCACAACAGGTGCGGTGATGCGTTGTTCGGGAGCGATGACGAGGACAACAGGTTGTGCAGGTGAACTGCATGTGTCATCGCGTCTGGCCAGAGTGTGGTGGGCAGCCTCATCCCCAGAAGCAATTTTCGCATTGTCGTCTGCAAGGTCCGATTCATGCGTTCTGCGATTCCCTGCTGTTGGTGAGCATAGGGCAGGGACACCAGGCGTCTGATTCCTCTTTCCGCCAGATAGGTCCTGAAGCGTTGTGACTGGTATTCCAAAGCACCATCTGACTGGAAGCTCTTGAGTTTGAGTCCCGATTCTCGTTTGGCGATGGGAAGCCATGTTGTGAAGGCTTCGAAAGCTTGATCACGTGTCTTGAGATTAAAGTGCCAGACGTATCTGGTTGCTGCGTCGATGAACGTGATGACGTAGTTGAAGTCGGCTTCGGTGTCTTCTCGAGGCATGTTTAAAATGTCGCTGTAAACCTTTTCCATCGGAGCGTATGCAGGTGTGCTTGGGTTGTGATGTGATGGGAGGCTGACGAGGAAGATCTGCTTCGGGGCACGTGAAGCACCGTGCTCGTGGTCGTTGAAGTTCTTGGCCGTTCGTCGTTAGAAGGGCGTTCCGTTCTAACACCTCTGCCTGGATGGTTTGTAGTATCGTGCTGTTTGCAGGGTGCCCGAGTCGTTGGTGCCATATGTCGTCGGAAGCGCGATGACCGGGTGAGCGGTGGTATATGTCGGCGCTGGAGAAGAACGTGACGACTGTGGCGGGACTTTGACAAACTTCTCGTGTTGCAGGCATAAGCTGGTCTGCTTCGGTTGGCGGTCCTCGGATCGCTGGTGGTGGGACTCGGCGTGGGCCTGCTGCTGGTTGTACTGCAGGTGATGGTGTGGTTGGAATACTTGCTGGAACTTGTCTTTCTTGCCTGATGACTGCTAATGCTCGTGTTCTTTCTGCTGCAGGTATGGTGTTGGAGTGCCAGAATCCGTCACTGTCGAAGTCAGGATCAAGATCCGGCGGGTGTGTCCATGCGGCGAATGATACGATGCCGTCGCTGTCTGCGGTACCGCGGTCGGGGACGAAGTCCAACACGAAGACGCCGGACTTCACGAGGGCACGGCCTATGAATAGACCGCCCTTCCCGTGGTAAAGCCGAAACTCGTTGGAGTAAGAGTCGCACTCCAGGTGAATCCCTTTGGCCATTAGTTGGCTTACGCTTAGTAGGTTGTATCCCAGGTTGTCGACAATTAGGACTTTGTTGAGCTGAAGTATGACATTCGTCTCCATGGATTGTAACTGAACCACGCCTTGTCTGTTTGTCTTCAGGTTTTCGTTGTTGGCGACGGTGATGATGACATCGCGGTTGAGGCGTTTCTCCTGTTGCACGAAGCGTCCCGAGGAGCACATGTGTTGGCCGCAGCAGCTGTCCAAGAACCAGGTGTTTCGCCCGGTGGGTTCGGCGTTGGCGACCGCAGCATATGTTGGATTGACTTGAAGTCCTTGTGAGCGTGGTGGTGGGAGCTCCTCTTCATCTGGCGCGTAAGTGGGTGGTGATCCGTGTGTGCAGTTGTCGATGTGTACCATGCAGTTAATAATGTTTGGTGTCTGTTGTGCAGATGTTGAAGAGCGCCTTGGGGGACTTTCTTGAGTGGAAGCGACTTGTGGGTCTGCTGGACGGTAAACGCGAGGGCGGTTGCAGTTGCTCTTGGAGTGTCCGGAGGTCTGGCAGTTGTGGCAGAATAGCGGCACGAAGGTGAGTCCCCTGTTGTCGTGTTCTTGCTTGCCACGTGGATTGTAGTTGTTGTCGTTCCTTCGTTGAGTGTAGAAGACTAACTGCTGCTGTTTCCTTGGTTGTCTTTCTTCGAACAGGTCCATCTCCTGTTGTTCAGCGTGGAGCTCGGCGCAGAGGTGCATCTCCGAAATCGTTCCGTGGGCGCGAAGAAGTGATCGTGTGGTTCTCCATTCTGGCCCGAGCCCGGCGAGGACAAGTGTCACGAAGCTTTCTTCAGTGATTGTTCCTCCGCACCGAAGCAGGCGGTCGCGGAGGGTCTGGCAGCGACTCATATACTGCATCGCTTTTTCCCCGGTCTTCATTTGTATTGTTGTCAGTTGTTGCATAAGTCTGCTTT